AATGAGCGGCGCGCGGCGCGCGGTCCCCGGAACTAGCAGCGCGGCGAAGGTGTCGTGCACGTACCCGCGCGTGGCCAGGGAGCTCTTGCTGAGGGCGCTGCTGTCGTTGGTACTCTGCACGGCTCCCGCCCGGCGCTCGCGGCTTCGCGGGCCCATGGCCAGAAGGCGCTCAAGAGCCCCGGCCCGTCACGGTGCTGAGCTGCTTTTCCGTTCTAGTTACCCACCCGGCGGACTTCTGCACGGAAACACCACCCCTCCTCCGTGATTCCTCTTCCGCAGACCAGTTGCGTCACTTCCGGGAAGAGCGCGCCTCGCTGAGGAGAATTGAGACGGGCGTACCTTGCGCTAGAATTCCACGGGTTGCCTTCTTTGATTCCCTGGGACTGCGGTTTCGCGGGAAGACTGTCCGCTACGGCTTATTGTGGACACGTAAACTGTCAGGGAAGCTCGAGTTGTCAGTACTGCAAGCTTTTCCGTGTGAAGGGAAATTTTTAATCTAAGTTCTCATAGTTGACTCAACTGTTGACAGAAATCTTTAAGAGGTGAGTCTGGGGACCGACAGCCAGAACTTGGACGGGAAGATCTGCACCGCGGACGCTGGTGGGCAAGTAGAGGAAGGGGTCGGTCCTTGGATACTAACTGTTAGTGCTAATTTATTTAATGCTTTAAAGGTTACAAGGAGAGATCCCACTCAAGTCTGAGAAGTCAGAGGGGTCTGGTGCAAAATGAACAGACCTTTACAGAGGTTGTGTTTCACCCAATACAGTTTTCCCCGCAGATACACACTATTGATGGTCTTGTATTCCTGGCTCTGTGCTAAGCTGCCAGTAAGTAAATTACTCAGCCCCAGATTCTCAGCTATAAAATGACATTCCCCTCTACTTTCCAAATTCTGTGATTCTAGGGTAGAAGGGAATCACAGAGGCGAGGTGATTATTCCCTCATGATACGGTCTGAATCTTGTTGGGGGTTTAAAATAGTAACCATCAAGTTTCTGAGGTGGATGTTCAGGCATCATCACCAGTAGAAAACTGCCTCCAGAGATGTTTAAGGAGACTTGTAATTTATTCATTGGGATTTGGTGACTGACTCGGGCTGAGATGGAGAAGAAAATCAAGATGACTAAAGGTGTGGTTACCTGGAAGCAATATAGCATAATGATTAAAAGTATGAGTTTTGGCCCTGGCCGGTGTGATTCGGTGGATAGAACGTCGGCATTACCAGTAGAAAACTGCCTCCAGAGATGTTTAAGGAGACTTGTAATTTATTCATTGGGATTTGGTGACTGACTCGGGCTGAGATGGAGAAGAAAATCAAGATGACTAAAGGTGTGGTTACCTGGAAGCAATATAGCATAATGATTAAAAGTATGAGTTTTGGCCCTGGCCGGTGTGACTCGGTGGATAGAACGTCGGGAACTGCAGGTTCTCCGGTTCAGGGCACGTGCCTGGGGTGCGAGCTCCATCCCCAGTAGGGGGCGTGCAGAAGGCATACAATCAGTGATTCTCTGTCACCATTGGTGTTTCTATCTCTTCCTCTCACTTCCTCTTTGAAATATATAGAATGAGTTTTGAAGTTCTACCAATTCGAGTTTGAATACTGGGACTCAAAAGTTTGAGTCAGGATAAAGTTTTGTTAATTGAAAAGTTTCCTTTAGCTTTAGTGTTTAAGAGCTACCAATAACTGCAGGGAGAGCAATTTCTGTGCAGCAACCAGAGCAGGATCCATGTTATAGTGAATGGGAAATAAGTAAATGGAGGCAGCCGGTCTAAATTACACTTGCAAGGAAATTAGCTCAGAAGGAGAGACAGGGCGGTAAAGAGGAATGTAGAATAAAAGACAGTTTGGGTGTTGTTATTTTTAGGTGGAAGCAAATACTATATTTGCATGTTGGTTCCCTGAGTGCAGAGAGCCAGTGGGGGGTGGGGGAGAGAGGTTGGAGGAGCAGAGAAGTGAGAATAACTAGTGGTGTAATGAATTAGAATAGATGGGAAGGAATGGAATTCTGGGCACAAATTAGTCTGCGAATCAAGAGAATGGATCTTTTTTCCTCTGGCTTCTGAGGGAAGAAATGGTGTAGATGAAGGTAAGTGTTAGGTGTCGGGAGGGGAGACAGAAAGAGGAAATTCATGCCTGATGGCGTCTGTTGTCTCTGTGAAGCTGGTGTGAAGCAGTTGGGTCTACTTGAGTTTGGAATTGCCTTTGAAGGGAATAGGAAAAGACTCCCCTGAACTTGCTGGACCTTGGGGTCCTCATCTCTAAAATGAGGGGACTAAGTCTGTTTTGTGAATTGTCTTAAGGTTGATTGAGGAGCAAATGGGGGTGGGGGGAAGAGTTATAGAACTTTAAAAAAAACACAGAGAACTATGGAAATAATATTTTAATGAGAAGTTAGTAAAATGTACATGATATGTTAGAAATATTTTTTATTTCTTTTTTTAAAATATATTTTATTGATTTTTTACAGAGAGGAAGGGAGAGGGATAGAGAGTTGGAAACATCGATGAGAGAGAAACATCGATCAGCTGCCTCCTGCACACCCCCTACTGGGGATATGTCCGAAACCAAGGTACATGCCCTTGACCAGAATCGAACCTGGGACCCTTCAATCCTCAGGCTGACACTCTATCCACTGAGCCAAACCGGCTACAGCAAATATTTTTTATTTCTAACAAAAAAGAGCAGAAATCAAAAATGATTCAAGAAGAAAGAGAATAGGGAAAAATTTGTGATTTGGGTATCTTACGATTGTTTTCTGGTTATTATTTTTTAATCTGTTTATTCTTATGTAAAATGGAAGTAATAATACCTCATGGGTTGTTGTGAAGATTAAGAAAAATAACCATCTAAGACACTTAGCACAGTGCCTGGTTCATAATAAGTGCTTAATAAAAAGTAACAAATAATTTTATTAATCTGAGGTTCCCTACATCCCCCCTACTCATGAAAAAAAGTACTCTGGGAGACAGGAGACTTGGTTCTCGTCCTTCCCTAACTTGATAAACTGTTAGTACAAATGTAGAAAGGTCTTATCTCAGTGTGTTGCCTTTCAGCTTCTCACTCTCATTCCAGCTTCTGGCCCATGCAAAATCCAGCCCAGGGCCCAGCTGGTGTGGCTCAGTGGTTGAGCATCAACCCATGCACCAAGAGATCATGGGATCCATTCCAGGTCAGGGCACATGCGGTGGTTTCAGGTTCAATCCCCAGTAGGGAGCCTGCAGGAGGCAGCCAATTGATGTTTCTATTCCTCTCTCTCTGAAAAAATAAAATAAAATAAAAACCCAGCCCAGGAAAGTTGAATTTGGTAGGGAATGGTATTGTTGATAGAAGTATCTTAGGCAAGGATCAGTGAAACAATTTTTTCAAATGTGCTTGTTTTGTGTTTCACATGGGTTACACTAGAGGCCCAGTGTACAAAATTCATGCACTAGTAGGGTCCCTAGCAGCTGCTGGCTGCTTTCCTGGGCCTCCCTCCCTTCCCCAAGCTGGCCCCACCCTCTGGTTAAGCTCCCAGACTAATTCCTGGTGAAGGGGACAATTTGCATACTACGCCTTCATTATAGAGGACTAGAGGCCTGGTGCACAAAAATTTGTGCACTCGGGGGGAGCGAGGGGCCCTCAGCCTGGCCTGTGCCCTCTCGCAGTCTGGGACCCCTCGGGAGATAACGACCTGCTGGCTTAGGCCTGCT